AAGATTTAAGCATACAGAATGTAATATATCAATTTTAGTATTATATTATTTTATTTTCGCTTATTTCGATATACATATAGAAAACAAAGTTGACAATTCGATACAATAGATATATGTATGCGACAATAAATATAGCTTCCTCATTCCCAGACTTTCTGTCCTTCTATCTTTTCTTTCCTTTCTTCTTTCTTTTTATTTTTATTCTATATTTTATTGATAATGTCAATAGTTAGGTACATTTGTCATTGTTACTACTTTTACACTTGTTGAAATTTCCCTTCTATTCTTTCCTTCATATTCTAAACCTTCACTGGTAGAAGTAGTAATAAGAAGTCGAATTTAGTCAATCCCGTAGAAGTATTTACCGCGACAATGAAGTAGAAGAAGAGTGGTTGGAGATATGGAGAGATGGAAGACTAGACTAGATGGATAGATGGATTGGATGGATGGTTGGTTAGATGGAAGGTTGGAAGGATGGAAGGATGAAATGGATAGATGTATAGAAGAGCAACCAACCATTATGTTGGATGAATGCTTTGGAGTGTAGTAGTGTGAGCTTTGTTAAATGTTGGTGAGGAAAAGAGGGAGAAAAGGCAAAGGAAAGAAATGAAGGTTCTCTCTCATCGTTTGGATAGTCCTTGTCCATCGTCCTTTTATCGTCATTGTCGTCGTTGTCGTCATCGTTGTTGTTGTCAACGTTGTCATCATCAAACCTATTACTATTGCTACGAACAAGACTCTCCTGTATAATTTGCAGTATGTTACAAGCTTCACTTTCTACTCTTTTTTTTCCTCTATTCTTCTATATCAACCGTTATAACCTCGGGTTGTTGCAATCAAAAGAGGAATGGAATAGATGGGATACGATGATAGTTTATGGTGACGGTGCTCCGTTGGGTCTTTCGATTCGAGCATCAGTAGCCTTCCCACCTACTACATCCAAGTAACGCTTCCCTCTCAGCATCCATCCATCTATCCATCTGCTCAGCCATCCATCCTTCCTTCTATCCATCCATCTATCCATCCATCCATTTATCCATCCATTCAGCCATCTAACCACCCTATCTGATGTCCTTCCTATGTTCTACTTCAACAGCATTAGCAACAGCAACAGCACCTGCTCTATGCAATTCCTTTTCATACATCACAAAATTTCCATTTCGTTTATTCCTTCTTTCTGTCATCTATTCCTAACGTTCATTGCTCATGAAGTTTTTCATTTCAATACTCTCTACATGATGCTTCAGAAACATTCTCTTCTGCCAAGAAAAATTCTTTGATTCAGAAGGCAAGAAATGTAACGAAGCAAGAATCTTCTTTCTCACTGCTTTTTCTTCATATTTCTTCCAATTATGACTGGAATCTTAGGCATCTAATAGTAGTAACATAGGTATAACATTTGCAAAAAGAAATACAAATCCTTCTCTCTGTCTCCCTTTCCTTTCCCCACTCCCCCCTTTCTCTGCAATGCATTGTTTTTCATATTCCTAATTAAGAATAATTAAGTTTCATTAATATAGGTATAGGAGCAGTAGTACATTTGTGTTGTTTTCGAAAAGTCCTAGAATCTAACATTTCCATTATTTCTATTTGTTAGTATTATTGTAGCTTCTGTCTTTGCTTTTAGGTTTGTTTGTTTTTAATTGGAAAGCAAAGGAAAAAAAAAAAATTACTTCTCAATTGATATCACGATTACTGCAAAAAGTTCGATATTAAATTTTGATTTCTGCAAATGAATAAACTGTACTTGTTGTTTATCACATTCACTTCTGAAGTAATTATTTATTAACTTCGAATTTCTTTCCTTTTCGCGCAAAACATTCTGAAGTGGAAAAAAAAATTGAAAAAAGGGAAAAAATTCAAACCTAAAGAAACTCAAGCTTTTTGAAATGAAAGGTATATTTGCTTAGGAAAAATATGGCACTTAACTTATTATGCTATCATGTTAAAATACAACTGATAGTCGTAATTTGTATACTAACAAATCTTAATTACCAATGTCATAACAACAAAGTTAATCATTGATGATAAAATATCAAACTGATATTTATTTGAATGGTTGAATTATAATGATTGTTTTAGAAATGCACCATAAAATTCAGGAAGATTAAATCAATATCTTATTTTGTTTTGCTTTTTTTTTCTTTTATCAATAAGAATGGTTTGCACGTCATTTTTCTTTTTACATTTGTAACAAAACCTTTCTATTTTTATTTATCCCTTCTTTCTTCATCTTCTTCAAAATAGTATCAGTATAAGTTGTCATGAAATAGTCATCTTAATCAACTCATCATTTTGTGTGGAATGATAATGCAACAAATAATCAGTAAAAGTTTCTCCCGAAACGAAATTAACTTAATAAGAAGGTTAAGTTTAACCTTCTTCTATCCTACAAAAAAAAAAAAGAAAAAAAAACAGCGACAATGTTTTTAAATCATTCCCATTCATTGAAAATATTATTTGTTAATCTTATCAATAATACCTCTACCATTGAATCTTTCTAATCACATTTAACATCCATAAAAATTCAAACCAAATATCGTTTATAGAAAAATGAAGTATTCCCTTCCATCATTGCTTTCCGTTCGTGATATACCGATACCAAAAGTAAGGTTTTGTTACATTGCAAGTAAGTATAATGAAAATTTTTGGATCTCAATATTTCTCCATTTTAATTTCTCCCCAAAATTGTATAACGCAATTCTGAAGGTTGTTGTAGAAGTGTTAATAGTGGTGATAGTAGTGGTAGTAGTTGTGAAAGATGTTGAATTTGATGTGTTCTATTTTTCCAGTCATCATCATCGCTCGAAGAATTCCAGATGATGAAAATGAAGACAGCGAAGACCGTAGACGAAGTATTTCTTCAATGTGTCGTCGTCTAAGGATTGTGGCAAAAGAGAGGAAGAAAGGGTCCGTTTGTTAGCAGAATGGCTCAGTTGGCTTTGCGATGACTCCCACTGTTAGAATGGAGGGAAAGAAGAAGTCATCCTTCTTATCGTTCCTCCTGAAAGTCCATTGATGTCAGCTGTTATATATTATCAACGACTACCTCACTGTTTCTTCTTCTTCTTCTTCTTCTTCTTCTTCTTCTTCTTCTTCTTCTTCTTCTTCTTCTTCTTC